CAATTTGGGCACTCTCGCATTAAAATGAGGACTGGGAACACTTCAGGGAAGTCTTATCAAAACAAGAATAGCGCACGGAATCAAAGTTGGGAGGGTAGCGGATCCCGAGCCAGAATATAGAAATTACTGTGGTGCAATGGCATCAGGTGGCCGCGAGCATTACCGTAAGAACTTGAATAATTGAACCTGGAGCTAGGGCGTCGGTGTTGCCTCTACTGGTATGGTGCGGTGTTTTTTAGTTTTCTTTCATCTCAAGCAGGGGCTCGGGGAGTCGGTTTTCGCTGTGCTCTCGGCCCCCTATACAGGAGAGGGAATTCTGAACGTTCTAGCGCGAGGTTCAATTATTCGAGTTCTTACGGCATATATATCTATCATGCACTACCTGCCACGGACTGTGGTAGTAGGCCCATTAAAATCAGGAGGGAAGAGGGCGGTTGTAGAATGCAATACCTATAGGCATGGGAGTGCTCAGACGAGGGCCCCTCTCTCTCCAAATGCTGGGATTTGGATAGTCATTGTAAAGCCAAAAGACCCCCCCCCCAGGATTAAGCTAGTTCTCTATGTATCGATTCTGAGGATTTCTCAGAGGTTTCGGAGACTGCCGGATTCCTACACTTGCCTTCATTCCGAGGCATAATCCCCGTTTAAACCGCTGTGATGAGCTCACAGTTCCTAATTTGCCTTTATCTCTCTTTTCGGGCTCCGAATTGCATGATTGATCATACACTTCGGTGATCCCGGGTACTCCACTACCGTATTTGGCTAACCTCCCTACTCGTACCCCCTAATATTGTGGACCCCTTCACACCGCCGTGGGGGGGGGAAATACGATTCTGGATGGCTTCTAGAACGGTTCAACTCGTGGGATTGCTAATGTTTTTTTAGTGACTTGGCTAGAATAATAGAGCTAGGGCGTTATATGCTTCTAAATTATGCGGCATAGACCAAACCGCACACTTCCTATGCTCATAGGGGCTCGCCCGATAGCCACAAATCTTTGGGATACCAGAAGCGTAAAGCTGTTGCGATGAAATGCATTTCTGAAGTGCTGCGCAGGCGCTCTCAGTGGTTACCGACTAGGCACTTGCAGCGGTGATTCGCAGCTGGAGTAAATAGTGTGTGCTTTCGATTCTTTGGATAGGATAAAATTTCCTAAAAGACAGCATGCGTCGTGGAACCTCCCGGTTTAGAGTCAAAGGCTCTTAAAAGGATTGACGGTTTTCCGACATCATACTATCAGCCATCACGTGGCGCTACATCTCATTAACTGGTGTGCCAAACCTCTCGAATACACCTACGGCAGTCACAGGAAGTAGATTTTGGAGCATTTTACGGTACAATACTAGCCCGCCCACCAGTAGACGTTTCCGCTCTCAGTTTCTGGTGAAACTTTCCTCCCGTTGTACTGTACATAGCTTTTGTAAAAAAATATTGGCCACGACTTTGCCACTTTTCGATCCCTCCTGCTGTATCAACACCGGCTACTCCCCCTTACCTTTTTTTTTTTTATCCGGAATTACACTGTTCCCTTGGGTACCATAAATGATTCTTAAATACATTCCGAGGTAAGGTCTCCTGGAGGCTAATGGCCCTCATCTAAATTCCCAAGTAGCAAAATCTCGCACCGTCCGGGTGCACCCCCATATGGAAGTGGGTGACCGCGCAGCTGAGGATTAGTGGTATCAAATTTTCTTACTTGTTTGAGCAATTTCTATGCCAAATTCGTTCTGACACTTCCTATGATAGCAGTAAGTTCATCAGCCTCCCATGCCTAGATCCAAGCAGTAGAATTGTCACCGGTTGCCTCGGGCAGATCTTGCAAGCATTTTCGGCGATGGTAGCGATGTTGATGAAACATCAAGAAAAATACTAAAGGATGACGCTGCGAAATTGCAAACAGACCGGGAGATATTTCTCTCCAAGCGGCTAACAACTCCGGAAACTAAAAGAAGCTCTCCGAACTGTGAAGGATACTGGGTCGGGTTAGGATAACCAATTATATTGAATAAAGGAACACACTATCCTAATCCGCCGCGATCCTTCAGCAATCCAGAACTCTCCAGGTGTCCATTGGCCCTCCATCCCCTCCAACGTACTGTATGCGAGGGTGCGGGAGAAGCAACGAAAATCCCACACACCCGATGCCCCATGACTGTTTTAATCCGAAAAACCCTAAACCCTGTGCCCTATGCAGTCTCACCCACATCATAAGCGGCGTACCCTTGAACCAGATGTCTCCTAACCGCAATCCAACGGATGTAGGAACAGCGTTTAACGTGGGATTATTGATGGCAATAAAATCCTGTCATAAAATCCTAATCGCGGGGCGCGGAATGCTGTATGAATTTTCGCTACGAGAGGGGCCGATAAATATATTCGTCACGTGCCTTATCTATGGACACATCGCAGCCAAAAGGTGCACCGAAACTTTCTTATCAGACTCACCTGACATAGTCTGAATCTTCACACCACACACCCTCGGTTCGCGCCCGAAGGGCCCCGGGGCTGTAACCACATCCCTACAATTGGCCAAGAAAACAACTCCCAGCGCATCATCCGTTAGCGTAATTAACCGAGCGTCACGATGCAATGGTATGGACCTGCGTCTGAACACTCAACCTCTCAATTCATAACTACCAAAACAAATAAAAAAAATCGAAAACAAATAACTTTACATAATTAGAATCGATCCTTTGTATCCCAGCCCTCAGCCACCATGGTTGCCTCGATTCTGTGTTCTACAAGTAGTAGAGGAATGGTAGGTTCGGGTGTGGAAGGGAAGGCTACGAGTAGCATGTTGCATAATCAAGCATTGTATGCACTCCAAATGTTCGCTTAATTATGCTAACACATGATAAGTTACATGCTTTCCACACCACAGGTCTTGTTGCACCACACCGCATCCACACTGCCTTCTCCAGACACACCTTGAAATCGAGCAAAAAGGAAAAAAAGTGCTCAATTTACACCGTACTCCGCGGATAGAGGAGGTATCTGCAACCCCCTGCACGAGATTCAATTATTCCGGTATTGAGATACAGTACGGTACGTCTCCTGAGTTTTATACATTCTACTAGCACATAGCCAAGTACCCCTTATTACAAGTAGTATAACAAAACTTAGGAGCTGTATCTGGGGAAACGTGCTATGGAAGCTGGAGAGCGTTGTAGCTACGGGGGAAGCCGATTCCACGAAAAATCATATCATACGTGTATGAGCTTTCTTCCACTATGTCACAGATTGCTGCTACAAACTCCAGATATCTATTTACACTTCTACATGACGGGTGGGCTACCAATTGAAACCCTTTCGCCTCCTTTGGGATAACTTCGGTATGCCTAGGTGAGAGGGTGAGGAGCAACAGTAGGGTTCGGGCTACGACTCATTCCTCTCACGTTTCGGTGCAGATCGCTTAAAAGTTTCCCGTCGAAATGACCCAAATCTGAACTCAGATGGCCCTCCACACAGTCTGAATTTTACAAACACGATAGCAAACCGCTGCAAGATAAGTTAGTTCAGGTGTAACCCTGGGTACAAGAAGTTTTATTTTTACAAGGAGTGACAATTGAGTGAGCCCATTGAATGTGCTGCATATCATACCCCGAGATTTTGGGTGGGCATGAGACAAGTTCCCAGCTATCCGCAGGCCGGGGTAAGAATGATTTGTGCTCGTAGTTGATTGAGTGGTAGGCTTGCTAGAGAAACCCAGAGCGGGTTAGGTAAGCCACCCCGGTTTGATGGAGCCGCCACAGACTCTGCTTGAACCCCTGTTCAGCTTTTAAGCGATTTGTACCATGCCATTTTTGGCATCAACCGCGGGAGGCATTCAACGCGGAATGTGCCGTTCGGGTCGGAAATTCCCCCCCGATTCACACTTGCAGATACGAGCCCGGTCATATTCACAAATTTCATATCTTTATTATTGGCACGGCGAAGGAGTACGAGTACGAGTACCGTACTAGGACAGAACCCATATTACGTCGCCCCCTGCTGCTTTATGCGCCAATTCTGGTCTCAGCGGCTCGACCAATCTCCTGGTACCAGTATTATAACATCATGTGCGTGATTCGGCTGGAACGGATGGCATTTTTTTCTTGGGAAACGAGGCGCGCCTCATAACTCTATCCGCGTATCGGCACCATCTGGTGGATTTCAAGGTACTCATATACTCGAGTAATGAAAAACCGGCTTGTGGAGTGTCAGAAAACGTACAGCGACCGTAGATAATATGCAAGAAATTTTTCGCGATCTCCAGGCCATTCTCACCTTATGCCCCGCATGCTGCGGCGAGGCACAAGCCAATCGCTGGTAGCCGCCCAAATTGTGACCTCGAATTAAACCAATCACATTGCCCAAACCTCAAGGGAGTCAGCTATGGTGTGGAACACCTGGTGTTTGTGTTTCTGCGACCTCTCATCATCCCGAGCGGGGAAGGCTTCTGACTTCTGAAGACCGAATTTCAACCTTCCCTACAATACCCCCCCCCCAAACTTTATGCCCGCACACTGCTATATTTCCAACCGCTCAAAATCCAATAGCCCTAGATAAATTTATATTACACTCCACAGCTGCGCCAAAATCACAGGATTACGAACCTCCATATCTAAGGCTAGGTTCGCGACTATTCATTTTACTGCGGTAGTTCTCGGTTATTGACTTCTTTCAGGGCCCCGCAAAGCCATTTTGAACGACCTCAATCGGCAACTCTTTCGTTTCAATTGCACCAGAGAGATCTTATTCCTTCCATACCCGACGTTGGAAAACGTTGCTATAGTAAGCTAAAATAATACATGGAAGAGTGGGTTCACCCTCCCCTTGATGTTTATGCGATTTCAAAAGGAAATGAGGTACTGACATCATAATATTCCTAGAAAATCCCAACCTAATATCAGCGGAAATTTCAGCGGGAATTCAGGGGATAATAATGCCTTCGCCAGCAACAACAATATCAACGTAAATTTGCCTTACCTGAACTACACGGCCAATCTCGGAACAGTGTGTCAAGGATTTGTTATTAGTGGTAGGGACCGAGGTATTGTCAGCTTTCCCGAGAGCTTTCTGGCAAAGAACTAACCTGCTACCATAACCGGAAGAAGCAGCTAGGCCTTATAGGCTAATTCCCTATAGCAGGAACTGCAAGTTCACCGGTCGTAAAAGTATCATCGATTCGGTAAAGAGCCTCTCCAAGCGTAATGGTCACAACAGGATTGCACTTCTTGGATTGGGCGGCTCTGGGTATGCTTCCATTAATTTAATATCCGAAGTACTTACTAACGCTGTTCAGAAAAACCCAGATCGCGCTCGAATATGTTTATCAGCGAGCAAGTGAGAGCGATTGTGATATTTTCTGGGTGCAGGGAAGCGGAGTGTTAAAATTTAGTGATGGTTTTAGGGCTATTGCCCAACAGGTCCGAATTCCTCTGGCCATTGCGGAGACGGAAGAAGAAGGATTGCTATTGGGTGTAAGGAGGTGGTTTGAGGGTGCAGATAGTGGCGATTGGATTCTAGTTATAGACAACGCCGATAATGAGGAGGACTTTGTTGGAAACAACAGTCCCATCGCTAAATTTGTCCCACAAGGCCCCCGGGGTACACTCATATTCACCACCAGATCCCGCCGGGTTGCATTTCGCCAGGAGTGTGAAAAGATCGAGGTGGGAAAAATGGTGGAAGATGAGGCGCGAGACTTGTTTTCGAAACACTATTGTATCGGGGGAGGTTTAAGGGATCGGGAAGAAGAAGTTGTTTCCATGATCCTAGGTTCCGTGGGCCACCTGCCGCTGGCTGTGGTAGGATCTGCAGCTTTCATGGTTGAGACCGAAACACCACCCCCCGACTACTGGACCATCTTCCGGGAGAACGATAAGGGAAGAACGAAGCTACTTTCACAGCAGATTAGCGATATCCGCCGCGATGTCGACATGACAGAAAGTATTTTGAGCACATACTTCATCACTTTCGATCGAATTACAGAACAGATGCCGACCGCCGGGCATCTCCTACGGCTGATCGCATTCTTTGATCGCCAAAATATACCCGAGCAGCTCCTGCGAGAATCTGGCGTTAAGGGGGTGGATGATCCTGTTGAATTCCGTCTTGCTGTTGGAAAACTATTGGGATTTTCATTAGTTACCGCTACCTAGCATGAAAACAAAACATTTTATGAGCTCCATAGTTTGATCCAGCTATCGATACAGGCCTATTTATCACTAGAAGAGTTGGGTAAATGGAGTGCCGCCGCATTACGAGTGATTTCCCGGATATTCCCACGATATGAGCACGGGCTGCGGAATATCTGCGATGCATACATTCCGCACGCACTTGTAGTAACTCATGGTAGAATGGATGCTATTGCGGAAGACCTTTGTTTTCGAATGGCAGAGTGGTTTCTACAATTGGGTTCCTACGACAATGCAGAAGCACAAATCCGCCGATGTATCCGAGTACGCGAGGAGAATACAGAGCAAGGCTGGGATAAGGGTCATGGGAGACTTATGTTATTGGGACGGGTGAGGGCATTGCAAGGAAAGGCCAGGGAGGCAGAGAAGATACTGCAGGTCGTACTAGACGATCTTAGAGGGTCATTGGGTCTAAACGGCCTTGAAGGCGTGGTGTGCTTATCTTACCTGGGACGCGTGATGACTGATCTCGGAAAGTACGACGAATCCGAGGCTATGAATCGGCGTGCACTTGAGAAGTGTGAGAAGGTTCTTGGACCAGACCACCCAGACACCCTAACAAGCCTCGGTATGCTGGCTACAGTGCTGCAAACCAAGGAAAGTACGATGAATCCGAGGCTATGAATCGGCGTGCACTTGAGAAGTGTGAGAAGGTTCTTGGACCAGACCACCCACACACCCTAACAAGCCTCAGTGTGCTGGCTACAGTGCT